GGAAGAAAACCTTCCTATGGTGGTTTGAATGAGAATGACCCCCATAGTTTCATATAATTAAATGCTTGGTCTATATTTGGCAGAACTGTTTGGGAAGGATTAGGAGGTGTGGTCTTGTTGGAGGAGATATGTCTCTGGGGATGGGCTTTGGGGTTTTAAAAAGACCCAGTCTCTCTCCTCTCTCTCCCCTCTCTCTCTCTCTCTCTCTCTCTCTCTCTCTCTCTCTCTCTCCCCGTCTCACAATAAAAAGTAAAGAATTCAGTCTAGATCTCTGACTCGGCCCCTTGGCACCAGACTGGTGGTCATCTCAGGCTCACTTGTTTTGGGAAACATTAGCCTACTGACCATTCAGATGTTCATAGGTCAGAACACTGAGCATACACATAACCTCTCTCCTCTGTGCCATCTATTGATGTACATCTGTTGACACATCAGCCACACCAGCAACACCTCTAGGGGAAGGCAAATCAATCTCTTATAAAACCCCTTATAAAAGCAAAGATCAAATCACATACTTCCCACATACAATGGCAGAGAGTATATGTTACTATTTTTAATGGAAGGAAAGGGGTCATGGTGAGGAAATACTGGACCAAAGCAAGACAGAAACCAGCAGAACGAATCCTATAACTCCATGCCCAATGTCAAAGGGCTTAGATGCTCTTTCCATCTAGCCTTCTCCATGCAGCAAACTTCTCTCCCAGGCTGGTTCCACTCCCTGTGTGCAGCTCTCCCTCTCACAGCTCTTGAGGACTCCTATGCAATCCATGCTTCCCTTTCACAAAGACTCCTCACCACGCTGTTGGCCTTAGTCGTCCTGGGTACCTCACATTCAAATATATAGCCAATGGGGGGGCCCACTCTCATTCAAACTACCACGTCTTCATCTTTGTTGGGCTTCTTTCACTGGGCAAAAAAGTCCAAGATCCATTCATGTTGTAATTTGCGTTGCTAGTTCATTCCTTTTTGTTGCCAAGTAACTGTTCCCTGTGTAGAATTGCCCTGGAGTTTATCCATTCACCTATGATGAGTCTTTGTTATTTTTTTTTCTGATTTGGGCCTTGTTTTAGTTTATTTTCCCATTTCTGTGATAAAATGCTCAGAGATAAGCATCAATAAGAGAGGAATGGCTTATTTTAGTTCACAGTCAAATTATGTCTATTTGCCCATAATAGTCTATTATAATGTCATAGTCCATAATAATTATCTCATAGTCTAATGATCTATTATGATGGGTAAATCAAGGCACAGGATCTTGAAGCAGCTGGCCACTAATCCCATAGTCAGAAGAAGAGAGTAATGAAGGTATGCCTTTGCTCTGCTCACTTTCTATACTCTTATGTAGTTCAGGATCCCTTGTCTAGGGAATGGTGCCACCCACAGTGGCTGGGTCTTCCCACCTCAGTTAGGCAATCAAGATAATCCCCACAGACAAGCTCAAACACCTCACCCAAGTGATTCTAACTTTTGTTGACAACTAGCACTAACCGTCACAGGGCTTTTAACAATAAAGTCACTGAGAGCATTCAGCCACACATCTCTGAATAGGCATATGTTTCTCTGAAGTAAATAGCAAAGAGTAGAAGGATTGGATCATACAGTGTCTCTAACTTTTTAAAATATTGTCAAGTTATTTTTAAAGTGACCATCCTGTTTTACTCTTCCATCAACAGATGCTAAGGTAATTCAGCGGCTCAACTATTAACAGACACCAATAAATGGATAGTTATATGAAAAGAGGAAAGAAAAAAATAAGCCTCAATGAATACTGCATACCACTTAACAACGTTGCTGACCTAAACGTAGAGCCTGAGATAATAAAACTTATAAGAGACATTATTTAAAATTCTGGGGTTAGCTGGGCATAGTGGCACACACCTTTAATTCTAACAGGCATGTGAATCTCTGGGAGTTCGAGACCAGCTTGGTCTACATAGCAAGTTCCAGGCCAGCCAGAGCTACACAGAGAAAACTTGTCTTGAAAAACAAACAAACAAACAAACAGATAATGATGATGATAATGTATAAAATGAAACACATAAAATGAAATAAAACTGACTAAGAACTCATTGGTGATATGGCCCTTAAGCTAGGTAAGAGGTAGAACTGGAAGGATTTGGAAGCAAAATAGATGTTTATGGAACGAGCAAACAATGATGGTATCTGATGTCCCCATCCACTCTTTTTCTTTCCTTTTCTCTTTTAAAGAATTATTTATTTTGTGTATACAAATACACAAAGCTGTCTTCAGACACACCAGAACAGTGCATAGGATCCCACGGCAAGTGGTTATGAGGGGCTGCTGAGAATTGAACTCAACATCTCTGGAAGAGCAGTCAGTGTTCTTAACTGCTGAGCCATCTCTCCGTCCCACCCCTACCCATTCTTAAAGGCAAGATGAATAGTATATAAATGATGGGCTGACACAGAAAGAGCCATGAGTTCAGCAGTCAGAAAGAACCCTTGAAATGTCAGCATGTCATCCAGGCAGACACTATGACCCTGCAATGCATGGGGTCACGAGGAGGAAGATGGAGATTTTCAAATAACTTATTTTATCGTAACAAATAACTCATTGCCAGGTAGTAGACTGACTACAAGTGGATGCTCTCATCAAGACACAGGACATGAAACGAATAAGAGTTGAACACAGTTTGGGAACACATCGAAACTTATGTGTCAACAGAAGTAGAAGCAAGGGCTGGAGAGATGGCTCAGCGGTTAAGAGCACAAGCTGCTCTTCCAGAGGACCCGAGTTCAATTCCTAGCAACCACATGGTGGCTCACAACCATCTGTAATGGGATTTGATTCCCTTTTTTGGTATGCACAAAGACAGAAGATTCATATATAAAATAAATAGAGAATTTTTTAAAAAGCTTACTTGTACACATTTAAAAGAAGAGGAAGAAGAGGAACATACTGTTATCTATGTATCTATCTACTATCTATCTGTCATCTATCTATAATCAATTTGTCATCTATCTCTATTATCATTTGTCTATATATTCACCTATCAATCTATCCATCTATTATCTACCCATCTATCTATCAGCTATCTATAATCTAATTTCATGAAAGCCTTTATCATGGCCTCATAAGCATCCTTTTCATTTTCATTATGTCTTATAGACAAAAGAAATTCCTAAATCACTTTAAAGAGCTATGTCTATCCCAACTAGAGAGATTTCTCTTCACAGCCTCTGGTTGAACTGTACATGGAAAATAAATAAACCCACTCTTTCTAGACATAGCACAGGCCAACTGTTCTAAATCCAGAAAGGCAAAGTCTGAAATGCTCAAACATTTGAACCAGGGTGAACTACTCATTTGCCACAACAAATGGAAAATTCCACACCTGACCTCTCGTGGCACATCACAGACAAGCTACAAGCAAACTCCAAACACTGCATAAGTCTACCTGCCAGCTGCATGGGTGCATGTGAGACACAGATGGGTGTTGTGTGTAAGCTCGGTTCCTAGCCTCAAGATATTTTATTTAGCATATTCAAATATCCAAAAACATGAAACAAGTAAAAATCTGAAAGACTCCTAGTCCCAAGGATTTTAGAAAAGAGTTACTCAGCCTGGAGTCTTAAAAATTAATTTGTGGGGCTGGTGAGATGGCTCAGTGGTTAAGAGCACTGACTGCTCTTCCAGAGGTCATGAGTTCAAATCCCAGCAACCACATGGTGGCTAACAACCATCTGTAATGATATCTGATGCCCTCTTGTGGGGTGTCTGAAGACAGCTACAGTGTACTTACATATAATAAATAAATAAAAATTTAAAAAAAAAATTAATTTGTTGGTACTGGAGAGATGGCTCAGTGGTTAAGAGCACTGGCTGCTGCTTTTCCAGAGGATAATGGTTCAATTCCCAGCACCCACACAGCAGCTCACAGCTGTCTATAACTCCAGTCCCAGGGGATCTGACACCTTCACACAGACATACATACAGGCACACCAATGCACATAAAATAAGTAAATAAATCTATAAAAACTTCTTTGTTATTATAAATATGTGTGCTCGCATGTGCAGGGGTCCTGAGCTCAGAGGACAACTGTATGGGGTCAGCCTGTAATCTAATTTCTCAATTATTTTTATGTTAAAACTAGATACGCTCAGTTGGCTTCTGGGAAATTGACATATTACATAATGGGACAAGATACCATTTGATAATGGTGCTGAAGCTGTGTATTCTGGAAGGGTTTTTCTTAAAGGCAGCCCTCTGCATGAAGAATCTTCTGTGGAATGGATACAGGCTTTGCAGTTGAACTCATGATGCAAATTGCATGTGGTCGCAAGTGAGATGTCTCTGTGGACACTGACACCCTCCCCAAGACTGAAGTTCTTCCTTCCCTCAGGACCAACAAGCTGCAAGGGGAGAACTGACTCCTACAAATTGTCCTCTGACCTCTATGCACATGCCATGAGATCATGCTCCCACCCTGAGCCCACCCCATAAACACACACAAAATAAATAAAAATGTAATAAAACTATTTAAAAAAATAATAAAATAACTAGCACTTGGACTTCTGACTTTGGGGCACCAAATGTAAATGAGTGTGAACCACCAAACACGCCTGTGTGGTGTGGTGTACTGAGGAAGGGAAAGTCAGTCCAACTTAACTGTGGTAGTGCAAATTCCTGAATCAGTGTGAATAAATTTCACTGTTATAAAACACAGATTTAGACCTTTGCTGACATCCTGAATTCTTGAGGATTTCTAAGTCCAGCTCAGGCTGCGGAATGCTTGTATAAGAAGCTCTTATGCAAGGAAGATCTACCCGGCGAGGCCTGGAAAGAAGAAAGAAACCTCGCCCTTTCTCCAGCACGCTGGAGGGCCTGCCATTAGAACCTGTCTTAGCGCATTATGTCCATGGAAATTTCCAGGATAAAATATACCTACTCCTGGGAAATACTGACCACTTCCCCTGTGGAACTTGGCCTTGCCTTAAACTTACTTTCAGATCCTATGCAGCCCCGAAGAAGCAGCTGGAGGTAGGCCTGGCCCACCCCATCACTGCCCTTTGTGAGAGACCATTCAGCCATCACAGGGAGGTTGCGGTGGGTTGAAATTAGCTTAGTTTTAAGTGTGCTGTTACACCACAGAGAATGAGGAGGATGGAGGCCCCAGAAGGCCAGGAGAAAAAGTTAAGGTCATCCAGTCCCCTGAGGAATAGAACAGGCATAACAGTGTAAGATGGGTGAAGTGGGCGATGTTCACAGATTCGCTGGAAAAGAATCTGGAGGAATCTTAAACTTACCCTGTACAGAAGATGATGTGAAGAGTGTGAGTCTCCAGGTCTCGAAACCTTGAATAAGTTGAATTTTCAAACCCACGGTGGTGAGTAGTCCACAAGTATATAAAGCAGAAACTAGCAGTGGGCACAGTTGGCACAGAGGGGTTCCTCTGAGAATTTCAGGAATGAAAAGGAGGTGAGGAATTGAAGTTGCCCAAATGTTCATTGGAAGTCTGCGACATGCAGAGCGTTACCAGGAGCCAAGCAGAAGTTAGAAGCACAGACAGCAAGGGGAGAGTTGACTCCAGTATCCATCAGCAGATGAATGAGTGGACGGGATGTGTGGTGTGTGCACAGTGGAATACCTCTCAGCCGCAGAACGTCCTATCTAAGAAACCTCATACGATGAAACTCAAAGACATTATGCTGAATGAATTAAGTCAGACACAAAAGGCAGGAGACCATAGCAGGAAGTAAAGCAGAAACCATGAAGGAGTGCTGCTTCCTGGCTTGCTCAACAAGCTTGCTGATTGCTTATAGTAACCAGAACCACCAGCTCAGTTATGGCACCACTCACAGTGAGCTGGACCCTCACATATCAATGAAGACATGTGACACAGGCTGTGTCCACAGGCCAATCTGGTAGGGACAATTTCTCAACTGAGGTTCCCTCTTCCAAAATGTCTCTAGCTTGGAACAAGTTGATAGAAAATTAGCCAGCACGTTTACATTCTTGCCTTCTGAGTTTGCATACCCAAGTTTCTCCTCCAAGAAATCCTCTGGGCCTGTGACAAAGGCGAAGAGAGTTGAGGCAGAGCCTTCTTTTCAAAGCTAGTGCCAAATCCTGTGATTTTAGCTCTGGGCTTCAGGCCACTGATCCACACAGCTTGTGGGAATAAAGCTGATAAACTCAAGGAAGCCTAAACAAACATCTGTGTGTGGGCCCAGTCCCTGTCCCTCAGAGGAGAGAGACTACTAGATCTGGTGCCTTACTAGACACTTTCTGTTCCGGGAGTTTCTAGCCACCATGGTGGTACCAGGTGCCCAGGCCAACCCGAGCGACAGCAGAGCTCCACACTGCCGCCAGGGGGCAGTTCTGCCGTGCTTCTACATTGCAAGGACAACAGCCAGCTACTTTTTTGGTGCGTGCTTGCAGGCCAAGGGGTGGGGAATGGAGCTGGTGGGGGGGTCGCTCTTGATTCCAAGTGGCTGTCCTGCCCACCTCCGGGTAAGATTTCTGACCCCTGTACTAGCTTGAGGGGGATGGAATGGGATGGAGATTGTTCATCCCTGGAGAAAAGTCAGGGAGCCAGGAGATTCAGAGAGCAAGGGACCAGGAAGGCGGAAAGAGGATGATCAAGGCATGAACTAGGTTTCCAGGCTGGGAAATATCTGGACTGAACAGCTAAGGGGCTCCGCATAATAGGTACCTTAACTAAAGAAAACCAAAGTGGTGGAGCGTTCAAAGGTGGGGCTTTAGTGAAGGTCACCCAAATCTCTGTTAACATGTTCCGCCCCTACAGCGATCCCAGTGTGTTGAGGTGGTCTGTCAAAGCCGGCAAATCCCCACATTTCCCCAATGACCTTAAGGTAATTTACCACGTTTTCCCAAACATTTCCATGCAAGAGCCCTTTAACCCTTTGGGGACAGATTTAGGGACGATATTACAAACGGGACCGTAAGCTCCCATTCCCTGGACCCTTCTAGGACAGACAAGTTGAAGACACTGTAAATCTTGAGCAGATTGACGGCTGTAATTTATCCTCTAACATTACTAATAGCCTGCGAACAACTCTTCTTGTATTCCGTCTTCAAATACGTTACTATGCAGCAGCCCTCAGCGCGGCGAAAACCCTGGTGTTTATTTAGATATCGGGCGAGCACTTATAAAACTTAAACTTTCGATGTAAAAGTGGACTCCTTGGTAAGGACGCCTGTCTGCATCAACAAAGCACTCGCTGCCTGATTAATGTTGGCGCAGGTTAATCGGAGCCCATTACAATAATTAGATGGTCCAGTCATACATCAAACAACGCGTTCAGAACGCCAGGCATTCTCATAGGCCTTTCAAAGATCTCTAAGAGACTTGACGGACCATTTACAAGTGGAACTGGTGGTTGCTCATTGGAGAGAACGAAACCTGATTTGAAAAGAAGTCTTAGATGGGGCAAGAGTTTATTTTTGAGACTCTGTGATGAATACCAGTTGGAACAAGTCGTTTCAGGACGTAAGAAACACTTAGTTGATACAATGACACACAAGAGCATTTGAGATTGTTCCTAGAGAAAGCCATTGAATTTTTATTCAGTTCTTGGCAAATGGCGATTTTAACTAGAAAGTTAAACTTGTAAGGCAAAGTTCCCTATTTGAAATAGAAGCATCTCAGGAAATGCAAACATCCAGAAAGCTAGGCTATCAGAATGAATTCGGGTTACACAATTATTCGGATTTCCCGCCAGCCAGAACAATACATTTAGCGGTGGTAAACACGGGTATCCTTAAAACAGAATCATATTTTAATTATCCCTTCTAGTTTGCACTTGGAAGAAAAATGAATCGAGTGGAGTTGCACCCTATATTTAAATTTTAAAAATCGTTTCTTTTTTGTAAAGAGTATAAGAAGCACTTAATGTAATTTAATCAAAAAGGTTGATCTCAAAGTTCATATTTGCTACTGACCTTTCTACTACCAATTCTTCCCGAACAGCACTGTCTGTACGTTATAATTCCAGTGTTTAGAGAGTAGTGTGAAATGCTCATTAGAATATACCTTTTATTGAAAAGTATAGCGCTCGTTTTTCCTAACATTCCAACCGTTTTTTTTTTTTTGAGTTGCTACTATGTGTAATTTCTGTGTGTTTTTGAGTTTTCACTACATTTTTCTATTTCTTTTCCTAATTCAACCATTACTTGCTCTATTCCCATGGAATTTGTGAGATGCTCTCATTAGAGTGGCTTAGTTTAGCTGTCAAGTCTCTAGGGCATTCAATTGCAGATAAATGACCAAAACGCCAGCCTAACCGCATTTTTATTAACAGATGGCGGAAAACAAACGTCTTTGGAGGAGAACCGAAGGGAAAGGGTTAAAGGGTCAATAAACAATTATTACCGTGCTCAAAGTGGGGGATTTCTCATCAGATTCCACAGGCGGAGGCTGTCCCAATCCAGAGGAGCAGGGACACCCCACTAGACTCCTTCGCTCAATATTCCAGGGACCACCTCACACTTAGAGCAGTTATCCCCCAGTGGGATGGCTCTTACAGGCCACTGAGTGGTCCAATCGAAGCATCCACGGAGCGCTTCTGAGATTAGAACTGAGGGCTAATTCGGGAGAATCAAGTTGGGGACTTGAACTCATGTAGCCCTTGGGTCTGGCTGGCTAGGATGTGATTCGGGATATCCAATACCTTGGCAAGAAATAGTGGGCTCCAGTCTCCAACTCTTGCTGCTGCCCCTCCTGCGGGTGAACTTTCTCTCCCTGCATGCGGGTTCCCTCGCCTTTCTTTCCCTTCCCTGGGCCGTGCTCTGACGTACACACCATGTGACAGGCCCCCTTCTGCTATAAGCCCAGACAAGGTCCGCCCTCTTCTGGACTCAGCCCTGGCCTTGCCGAGCTCCGTTTCTAGATTCTCACTCGTCCCGCGCCCTTCTGGGCGCCCGACACCGACTGGCCCGCCAGGGTCCAGCCACTCCCTTCTGGACTGACCCGCCTAGAGGGACTGCAGTGGAAAAGGTCAAGTCTAGCGCGCCCGCCACCCGGTGCACGCGGAACCGGGGAGCGCAGACACCGCGCTCAGCCCGGCTCGCCAAGTAGCGGCGCGGAGCGGCCCCGGCCACCTCCTGCAGCCGCGCGTCGCAGCGTGGCGTCGTCGCTCCGGGTCCGCCGCTCCGGGGTCGGCCTGGGGAGGCCAGGGAGCCGGGAGCCCGGTACCCTATGTGCCGCCGCGCCACCGCGCCGCCCCAGCTATGACCCTGAGCACGGAGATGTCCGATGCCTCCGGCCTCGCCGAGGAGACAGACATCGACGTGGTGGGGGAGGGCGAGGACGAGGAGGAGGAGGACGACGATGACGACGAGGGCGGCGGCGGAGGCGGCGGCGGGTCCCGGTTGCCCAGCTCAGCCCAGCGGCGGCGGCGCTCTTACGCCGGGGAGGACGAGCTCGAGGACCTGGAGGAAGAGGAGGACGATGATGACCTCCTGCTGGCCTCGCGGCCCGCCGCGTCCCCAGAGCCTCCGGGTCCTGCGCCCGCCCCGGGAACCGGATCGGGCGTCTGCAGCGGCGCGGGAGCGGGAGGCGGCGCGGGAGGTGGCGCAGGCGCGGGCACGGGCACGGGCGGGGGCGCCAAGAACCCGCTGGTGAAGCCGCCCTACTCGTACATCGCGCTCATCACCATGGCCATCCTGCAGAGCCCCAAGAAGCGCCTGACGCTCAGCGAGATCTGCGAGTTCATCAGCGGCCGCTTCCCTTACTACCGGGAGAAGTTCCCCGCCTGGCAGAACAGCATCCGTCACAACCTGTCGCTCAACGACTGCTTCGTCAAGATCCCGCGCGAGCCGGGCAACCCGGGCAAAGGCAACTACTGGACGCTCGACCCGGAGTCCGCAGACATGTTCGACAACGGAAGCTTCCTGCGGCGCCGCAAGCGCTTCAAGCGCCAGCCGCTGCTCGCTCCCCACGCGGCGGCCGAGGCGCTGCTGCTGCGCGGTGCGGGGCCGGCGGCGGGCGCGGGGGACCCGGGCGCCGCGCTCTTCCC